GGGAGGTACCCCTAATGTTGGCAGGTCCTAAAACCGGGAGAGGTAAAGTTGGGGTGGTGCTGGTGCACATGGGTGTTGGAGTTGGCCAGAGAAGAGTGAGAACCCTGGTCTGCCACTTCCCAAATCCTCTCTGTGAAATGGGCTGATCATAGTACTTTTTAATTGATTTCAGAGGGGAAGGGAGAGGGAGAGAGAAATAGGAATATCAATGATGAGAGATTGAGGCTGCAACCCGTGCATGTGCCCTAGACTGGATTCAAACCCAGGATCCTTCTGTCCGAAGGGCAACACTCTATTCACTGAGCCAAACTGGCTAGGTCTGATCATAGTTCTTTTTTTTTTTTTTTTAAAGTTCAGTACAAATTTTTTTTAATGTATTTTATTGATTTTACACAGAGAAGAATTAAGAGGGACAGAGAGTTAGAAACGTTGATGAGAGAGAAACACCGACCAGCCACCTTTTGCCCACCCCCCACAGGGGATGTGCCCGTAACCAAGGTACATGCCCTTGACCGGAATCGAACCCAGGACCCTTCAGTCCACAGGCCGACGCTCTATCCACTGAGCCAAACCGGTCCTGGCTGATCATAGTTCTTTTAGCTTCAAGAACTCTCGAAAGAAGTAAATGAGACTGCTAGTGCTGTGCCTGGCACACATCCTCATGGGAACTTTGTGAGAATTAAATGAATACACACATGTGAAAAGTTAACCCCCACCAAATAAGTCTTATTCTTCTAGACTCTTCCTGGGTGGCTTAACTTTAAGAACTTTATTTCTACTTCAAGAGCGCTATCTGCTGATTTTCTCCCGAGCCCTAGACCTAACGGCTTCAGTGTACAACAGGACTTTCCGCTTGGAAGACTTAGAAGGTTTGCTCATGTTCTGGACTTTTGTGGATATTTGATAGCTCTGCCTAAAAAGCCAGCTGTTATGGGGGGAAGGAGAGGACGGGGACTTTTACTTGGTTTGTGTGCTTTGGGTGGCAAAGAATAGAGACTCATTAGGCAGCCTCAGGTTAAAAAAGCTGCAGGAGGCCCGGAATGGGGCCAGGCCAGGCTGGAGTTTCAGCTTTGTTGGCTGGGTTCTCTTTCCTGCAGGCTCTTGGGCAGCCTTCCCCTGGGAGCAGGCCTCACTCCTGACTACTCAGCTGCCCCAGGGGATAAGTTGGGCGACTGCATATGGTCCCAAGGTCTTAGGGTGGCTTCCCTTGGAGCACCTGGAGCTCAGCCATTTGATGGTGGGCCCTCAGCGGCAGTAGCCTCTCTTCCACGGAAGCTCATTCCGGAAGCATTGGCTGTGTGTGCTCCTCCCCGCACCAGCTCAAACACCCTGGGCTTTGCGACGCCTCTCCACCTCATTAGTCATTTCCCTTTTGCTCCATCATGTCCAAACACAACATATTGTAGTTGTTGATATCCAGAGCCGGTTCTCCAACTCGGCTGTCCGCTAGCCAGGCAGGGAGTATTATTCACATTCGTATCACCGCCACCGAATGAGCTGTCGTCGCTACGATTGCTGCGTGAATGGCACATGAGCATCTTCAGCACTTTTTGGTGGGGTCATTCTCCTCCCAAGAGGTACAGGGGACTCTCCACATGGTCCTCTCTCATGGATGTTCCTATCTCTTTATCCCCTCTCCCTTATTCTCTAAAAATCAATAAAAAATATTTTAAAAAGTAAATGAATAATATTTTTTAAATATATATTTTATTGATTTTGTACAGAGAGGAAGTGAGAGAGATAGAGTTAGAAACATCGATGAGAGAGAGTCATCGATCAGCCGCCTCTTGCATACCCCCTACTGGGGATGTGCCCGCAACCAAGGTACATGCCCTTGCCCGGAATCAAACCCAGGACCTTTCAGTCCCCAAGCCGACTCTCTATCCATTGAGCCAAACCGGTTTCGGCATGAATAATATTTTTTATAATTAAAAATAACATGGGCTTTGAAAAACATTTTTAAAATTCTGAATGTGTAGAGTTAAACGTTAAATTTCACTTACTTCTTTTCCAATCCAATACACATAGGCGAACACCAGTGAAATTTAAAAAATATTTTTATTGATATATAATTCAGATATCATACAATTCACCCATTTAAAATGTACAGTTCAGTGTTTTTCAGTATATTCCTAGGGATATGCAACCATTACTACAACCTAATTTTAGGACATTTTTGTTTCCCCAAAAGAAACTCTTATCAACTATCACTTCCCATCACCATCTCTCTCCCAGCCCTAAGCAACCACTGATTATCTTCCTGTCTCTAGAGATTTGCCTATTCTTTGACATTTCATATAAGTTAATCATATAATATGTGGTCTTTTGTGTCTGGCTTCTTTCACTTAGCATGTTTTTGAGGGTCATCCATGTTGTAGTATGTATCAGTACTCCCTTCCTTTTTATTGGTAAACTATAGGCCCAGTGCACAGATTCGTGCACTGGTCAGGGGTGTGGCCTGCAGGGATTGGCCTGTTGTGGGAGTGCCACTCATCCTGGTCAGCCTAGTGGCGCTCCCACTGTGGGAGCACACTGACCACCAGGGGGCAGCTCCTGCATTGAACGTCTGCCCCCTGCTGGTCAGTGTGTATCATAGCGACTGGTCAACCAGTCATTCTGGTTGCTCTGCTGTTGGGTTGGTAGGCTTTTATATTTATAGATAGCATTCCACTGTATTAATAAGGCACATTTTAAAAATCCAATCACCTGTCACTATTAACAGTTTAATTCAACTCACATATTTTTTCAGATTGGGTTTGAATCCCTGCTAAACAAGTTCCTAGATGAGTGACCTTAGGTAAATCATAATCTTTTAAAAAATATATATATTTTTTTGATTTCAGAGTGGAAGGGAAAAGAAGAGAGAGAAAAAAACATCAATGATGAGAGAATCATTGATTAGCTGCCTCCTGCACATCGCCTGTTGGGGATCAAGCAACCTGGGCATATGCCCTTGTCTGGAATAGAACCTGGGACCCTTCAGTCTGCAGGCCAATCCTATATCCACTGAGTCAAACCAGTTAGAGCAAAAATCATAACCTAAGCCTGCCTCTGTTTCCTCAATAGTAAATTTTGAATAACAATGGAATTTACCCATATAATGTCATCGTTGTATTGTCACAGTAATTAATATTTGTTGAGCACTTAACTATATACTAGGCATGTTGTAAGGATTACCTAATAGCTCTGATTTTCAGATTAGGGAATTGAGATTAGGAGAGGTTAAGCAATCTCCCCAAATCAAACAGCCCCTATGAAAATGATGGCGGTAAACAGAATCACAGGCTGACCAATTGCAAAGCCTCCACAATATTCTGGAATAATGAAGTGCTTAGCAAGAACCTTGCAAAGAGAATGAGTTTAGTATATAATAACGGATAAAACTGTAACAAAGGAGAAAAAATTACCAATTAATTCATCTAAAGACACCCACCACTTAATATTTTGACACATTTCCTTCCAGTTTTTTTTTAAACAGGCACTAGTCTTATTTTTTTTTAAAATATATTTTTATTGATTTCAGAGAGGAAGAGAGAGAGAGATAGAAACATCATTGATGAACGAGAATCATTGATTGGCTGCATCGTGCATACCCCACACTGGGGATCGAGCCCACAACCTTGGCATGTGCCCTTTACCAGAATCGAACCCATGACCCTTCAGTTCCCAGGTTGACCCTTTATCCACTGAGCTAAACCGGCTAGGGCTTCCTTCCAGTCTTTAGGGAATATTTCAAACACACCAAAAAAAAAAAAAAAAAAAAATCCAGAAGATAGCAGATATCAAACTTTCACCCCTGCTTTATAAAAATACATAAAAATTTGGTCAGGTAGCTCTACCTCCCAAACTCTTAGGTATTTTATTCCCTTTGTGTTATTTTTCTTTACACAATTACGGTCACACCACATCATTTTCTACCTTTAAAAATCCTATCTTGAGCAGTTCCTCAACATACCAATATGCCCCATGACTCTTCATGGTCGCATATTATATTGTATGACTGAAACATTATTTACTCCCTACTGTTAGGCATTTGGGCTATTTCCGAGCAAAAACATATCACTACACGTCATCTTTCAAAGAACCTGATAATTCCCTTTGGATAAATTCCTAGAAAGGCCAGAAGGTCAGGGACTGTCTGATGTGAAAGGTCTTTATGCCTACTTTATTTTTATTTTTCCAAATAGCTCTCAAGGAAGAATGGGAACAGGGAGAAGGTAGGTTAGGATTATTATTTTTTAAAAAATATTTTATTGATTTTTCACAGAGAGGAAGAGAGAGGGATAGAGAGTTAGAAACATCGATGAGAGGGAATCATCGATCAGCTGCTTCCTGCACACCCCCTACTGGGGATGTGCCTGCAACCAAGGTACATGCCCTTGACCGGAATCGAACCCGGGACCTTTCAGTCCACAGGCCGACGCTCTATCCACTGAGCCAAACCGGTCCTGGCTAGGTTAGGATTATTATTTATTATTATTTTACCTTTTAATCCTTTTTATTCACTTATAACACACACACACATAAAAGTGGACATAAGTGTACATCTCACTGAATTTGCAGCAAAAAACACACCGAGTGCCCAGCACTCAGATCATGAAATGGAACATTCCCAGCAGCCCTGGGCCGCCTTTTTTCCAGCGCATCACTGCTCTGAGGGGTTGGGCTTTCACAGGACTATTAAGGAGAGGACGTCTTTGGAACCTTAGTGTATTAACATTCTGGCATAGCCTAGACCACGGAACTATAAGCTAAGTCCTGCCTGCAAACGCTAGTCAAGCTGAAGTCGGCTGGGCGAAGAGCAAGCCCAGAGGGCAGCCGGGGAGGCGGGGCGCGCACCACCGCGATCCCGCCGGGTCCTCCAGACTCCCGGCGTGCAGCGCGGCGGTCCCAGCGTGCATCGCGGCGCTCGGAGGCGGAAGCGGCACGGTGTGCTGCGCCGACGGCGGGAGCGAGGCTCGTGGCTTGCAGACGGCCGGAGGCGGCGCGACGGGGTCGGCATGGAAGTGTGAGTCACCCGGTGCGCGTTCCGGCGGTCCGCCGAGCCTCACCGCGGGGGACGGGACGGCTAGGAGCTGGGGGCTGAGAGGCGTGGGCTGGGCGGCCTCGCGGGCGGCGGGCGGGGAGGGCCATGTGCAGGGAGGCGGGGCAGAAGGAGACGCGCTCTGCCCCTCGGAAGCGCCGGCCGCACTCCCATCCGGTGCCCGGTGCCCGGTGCCTTCCAGTGAGCCTGCTCCCCCCTCACTCATCTGCTGGCGGGCCGAGGGCGCAGGGGTGGTCCCGGCCCGTCTCCGGGCCCTGGGCCCTGGAGGTTCCTGGAGGAGAGGAGGATCCTCTTTGCGGGGCGGGGGCCCCTGGGGAGCCCTGACTGAGGACGTGGAGGAGCCGTGAGCTCTTCAAGGGAAGGGGCGGGTTTTCTGGGAAGAAGACCCGGAGGCTGAGTGGGTGCAGGGGGAGTAACAGTCGTTCCAGCAGTTTAACTCCACATGGTCTTTTCCATGTTGGCTCGTCGTATCGCATGCAAATGGAAGTTTTTTGTTTTTTTTTATCTAGGCATAACGATATTGTGTTTGTCTTTGGCACTGATAATTGAATACTCAATATTTTATGTTCTTTTGCCTCATACTTAATGGTTGTATGCACTCCTATTTTTCACACTTAAAAAAAAAAATACACATCCAGCCGAAATCGGTTTGGCTCAATGGATGGAGCGTCGGCCTGCGGACAGAGGGGACCCGGGTTCGAGTCCGGTCAAGGGCATGTACCTTGGTTGCGGGCACATCCCCAGTAGGGGGTGCGCAGGAGGCGGCTGATGGATGATTCTCTCTCATCTATGTTTTTAATTCTCTCTTCCTCTCTGTAAAAAAATCAATAAAATACTTTTTCTTAAAAATATATTTTATTAATTTTGTACAGATAGGAAGGGAGAGAGATAGAGAGTTAGAAACATCGATGAGAGAGAATCATCGATCAGCTGCCTCTTGCACATCCCCTACTGGGGATATTCCTGCAACCAAGGTACATGCCCTTGACCGGAATCGAACCCGGGACCCTTCAGTCCCCAAGCCGACGCTCTATCCATTGAGCCGAACCGGTTTCGGCTAAAATACTTTTTTTTTTTTTTTTTTTTAAATACACATCCAATATGTATATGTGCCTGAAGTGAAAGCTTCATGAAACAGTCTTACTGAACGCTCTGATGCTATCGTGTCAAACCTACGCAAAAAGAGGAGGCTTTGGCTAGAAATAAATGACAACGATTTACTTAAGGTTTTTAGAGGTTGCTAACTGGAAAACCTGGAAGGGTTCCCAAGAAGAAAGAAAAGTTAAATTCTTACAGTAAAAGTCATATTCTTGAGAATAATCAGTCCTGCCTTCTTAACCCTGGGATTGGTCCTGCACTGTTATCCAGATGTCACGTGAACGGAGAATGGTTGCCAGGAGGTCCGGTCCTGAGTCCTGGGGGTAGTCAGAGGGTTATCGGCTGGCTGGTTTGATATATGTCCATGGGCTCAGGCAGCTGTGAGCCCCAGAGTGCAAGTCTATGAAGGCGGGGCCCAATATCTATTCACTTAATGCTTAGCATGGCATCTGGCAGAGTAGACATTCAGTAAATTCTAGTTGACTAAAGTAATATGATGATACTTCATTAGTTTAATAAGTATAAATTAATTAGCTCGCTTTCTAATTGCTAGCATATTAATTTCCTGATTTTTCTGGAAAAAAAAAAAAAAGTGAAATTGTTTGATTCAAGGGTTTTTTCTCTTATAAGCATCTGCTCTTCCCAAGGAGGCTTTGACTTATGAGGCTAATCAAGAATTTTGAAGCTATCAGTTTATGGGAAAGCTGAGTTTTTCTGAGGTAGACATGTGATTTGGGCATAGAAGGGTCCCTGAAATGGAAAGGTCTAAGGGCCTAACTTCTAGTTGCTGTCTGGCCTCCAGTGTGAGGTATGACTTCTGGCAGCGTGGTGCTTGGGATCTTCAGTTAGAACCCTGAGTCTCTGAGAGGGCAAACATACTGTGCTTCTAGGATCTGGAGCAAGAAGACGCGAATGGAAAACTCCCCTGAGTTATTACTACTATTTTTTCTTCAGTCACTGAGTAAATACCTACTGAATGAATAATACATAATAGACATTCACTAGAAATTTTTTAAAGGTGAGGAATGTTTATGCTTTTATTTGGTTGAATGACAGATTTTTTTTTTATTGTTAGAGAACTTAATATTCTTCTCATACTTGATAGAATTAATAGACAAAAATACAGATTTGTGTTACAGTGTAAATAATTTGACCTGGTTGAGGTCTATGGGATACTACATCCAGTTACTACACTATACACATTCTTTTTTTTTTTTTTTTTAAATATATTTTATTGATTTTTTTACAGAGAGGAAGAGAGAGGGATAGAGAGTTAGAAACATCGATGAGAGAGAATCATCGATCAGCTGCCTCTTCTTGCACACTCCCTACTGGGGATGTGCCCACAACTAAGATACATAGCCTTGACCGAAATCGAACCTGGGACCTTTCAGTCCACAGCTGATGCTCTATCTGCTGAGCCAAACTGGTTTCTGCTGTGTTCACTCTTTTATTATTGAATTTATTACACATAGTTACGAAAATGGATGGTATTTATTTCTGTAGCACCTTCATTTTATAGCTGGAAATACTGAGGTTTAAAGAAGTTAGCTATGTTGAGTTAGTTTAGGACTGGGGTGTTGATCTGTGAGTGCCTTGGGTGGGGCCTGGATGAGGCTGGTTGACCTAGTGGGAAATGTCTTTTGTGTGAAGTGTATCATTGGGCATGTGGAGGTATTATTGATATGAGAAAATGCTAAGTAACTGATTTACTATCTGAAAAGGGATTTACTATTGGGGAAATTGAGGGAAGAAGAGACTGAACATAAACTGCACCTATGGATGAGGACAATGGGGGATGGGGGGGGGGGATGGAGGGTGGGGTGGGAACCTGGTGGAGGGGGGAAGAAATGAGGAACCTTTGTAATAATATGAACAATAAAGATTGCTTTAAAAAATAAAAAAATAAAAAAATAAAAAATAAAAATCAATGGGAAAATATCCTCAGGTGAGGATTAACAACAACAAAAAGATCTTATCAGCAGTAAACTTTTTGACCTACCCATACAGAAGTGAAAACTATTTACTAAACATCTGCTCTTCTTATCCTGCAATGACACCTCATCCCTAGCTCAGGATGTCTTAATATCTCAGAACCCCTTTTTGCCTCTGAACCTCTCCTGCATGTGGGGTGTCTGACTCTCCCATGTGTGCGGGGGTTCTCGTACAAAAGTATGTATTAAATTTGCTTATTTTTCTCTTGGTAAAAAAAAAAAAAAAAAAAAAAAAAAAAAAAAAAAAAAAAGAAGTTAGCTAATAATGTAGGTCCTATAACACTTCAGTAGCAGGACTGGAAAGAGGATATTTGTTTGTTAACTCCCAAAAGAATGCTACAGGTGAAATTGTTCATGGTCTGCCACCCAGTTTTTTTGAACCAGACTTTAGTTTTCCAGAACATGACTTACATTGATAACATAGGCTTAACATAAGAGAATTTGAGCAATTCCATTCGTCACTGCTTTCATAAGAGTTAACTATGTGGCAATCAGTAGCACTGTTTGCATGGGCTTTTTGTGTGTGTTTCTAAGGAAAGTCTGCTAATAGATCATTTTGTTCTGTTTTTCAGAATTTGGTTTTACAGAGTAGTTGTTTACATCCATTAAATTGACTCAGCAAGTTAAGCAAATTGTACAGGTTAAATTTCAAACAGCAAGTCAACTTCAGTCAGTTAATTCATTACTTAAGGAAATTAAGTGACTGCCTGCCTGTAAGTATAGATTTAGACGGTCTTTAAAATTCACTTGGAATATTTGCTTTAAACACCTGTAAATAAATTCAGTAATATTCTAAGTCTGAAAAGAGAATATGAAATTTTGTGTAGATGGCCAGTTTCATATGTATGCTTGTGAACATATTACATAATACTGAAATGTTAGCTATGGAGTAGACAATTTCTGCTCAGTAGGGATCAACAGCTTGTAAATATGATTGACAGGTATGGATTTTAGTTACCTTAAAAAACATTGGGTCAAAATGCATTTTATACCCTCAGTTATAAGTTATATTAATGTCTTTTTTTTTTTTTAACCACATGTAATTCTTTAGTTTTACATTTCCACTTTTCTCAACATGTTAACTTGAAAAATTTCAAACCCATACAACAGTTGCAAAAAGAGCACCAGTCACTTTATATTTTTTACATAGTCATCATTTGTTAACATTTTGATACGAACCTCTGGTTTTGGTGGTACCAGTAGCACATGGATACTTAAATAGATACTGCATCCTGCAGACTCTGGCTGGCAGAAGCTGACTTACTCATTAATTTTTTTAATAATAAGATAATGTTTTTAAACCCAGCTAATAGAGTAAAATGCTAATATATGTTAAGCACTCCTTTATTCAATAAATTATCAATGAGTGTATAATATCTACCTTTTATTAAGTTCTAAATGAACGATTTACCAAGAAAAAAATTTAAGGCTTTTTTTTTCTTTTTCTGAAGAAGTTATTGTAACCACCACTAAGTGGCAGGTTGTAGGAAAGAGGACATAGTGAGATTTAACAAACATTAACTTACCAAGCTGTCTATTTAACAGCACCAATAATGATGAGTTTAAAAACATTATCTTACTATTAAAGAATTAATGAGTAAATCAGCTTCCAAAACCAGAGGTTCGTTAAAAAAACATGAGAGAGGGTTTCTGTCCTTTGGATATTGATTCTAGAATAGGCTGATGATGTTTTTTGGATTCTTGCATTACAATATTGACTTGGGCAATGAGGCATTAACTTGAAAGAGCCAGGAACAGATTTCCAAGGGGATGGACTATTTTGCATAATGATTTGGAAATGAAGTTGTAACAGTGGCACCTGGGATGGATCCATTACCCTTGAGGAAAATAACAGTTGTATTTTTTCCCAGT